TTGAGAAAAATCATCCTTAAATGTAAGAGGAAAAGAAAGCAACACTGGAAGAAACCAAAGACTTCAGGTCATTTTTCTTTAGAATACAAAGGCTGAGATAAGATGGACTAATAGATCCAAATCATCAGTTTACACACATAGCACAGGGTTTCAGAGTATACAATACTACTGGGACAGCTTAAAGACCAAGTTAGCCTTACATATCTTAGTACAGATGTGGCCAGAAACAGAGCAGCTGTAATACCTCATTCTTTTCCCCAAGGGTCAGCTATTAAGCAGGATGCTACTAGTAGGGTACCTGATTTGATGTTCTACTTGTAGAATTGGGCTTCATTCAAACAAGAATCTATAAAAAGCCTGGCTTTGGCTTGCTTGTAGGCACTGACAATAGTCAGATTGGAAAAGTTTATGTCAAAGTAGCTACACTACAAAGATATGAGAGGGGACCCAAATAAACCCAGAATTATTTTTTGGAGGACAGGGTCCTTGGAGTTCAGACTCTCCCTGCTAGGTAAGTGTTCTAGGAACCCATGTGCATCAGTGTACCAGCTAGCATGGTTATGAGAGGCTGTGTTCTGCTTCAGTGAATTGTTTTTTTTAGATTCTTTCAATGTATTTGCTCATTTCATGATAGGTGATTTACATAAACAACCTGCCCATACAGCGCTGAGTGTTAAGTAGTTTTTGATTAAAAAATGGCATGACTCTTATGCCCCTTCCTCCCTATTCACTTGATCTCACTCTGAGAGACTTTGTTTGTTTCCCCAGATTAAAAAAAATATGTTCTCAAAGGGAAACGTTTTGCCAATGTGGAAGAGGTGAAACAAACAAACAACAAAACAGCAAACAGCATAAGCACTAAAAGGCATCAAATTTGATGAATTCAAAACCTGTTTTGAGCAGTGGAAAAAGCATCTGGATAGGTGTATTGTATCAGGCATAGAGAATTTTGATGTTGTTTTTTTAATTTTAAAGACGTGGGGTACAATTCAGGGTTAGGTATACAAATGTTCATTATGCAGGTACCCTTGTTGATGAGGTGTGCTTCCCCTCCCCTGGCAGTTTCCCACTACTACCAATCCTACCACCCCCCTCCCCTGGCAGTTTCCCACTACTGCCAATCCCTTTTTTATAGTATTATGATAATTGTTCAAGGTTCACTTATGAGTGAGAACACATGGTACTCTGTTTTTTGTTTCTGTGATAGATCACTGAGTATGACAGACTCTAAATCCAT